TAAGAATCATGGGAAGGAAGCCCAGTGGTGCTGTGAGTTGTGAAACCGTGTCCTCATGATGGCAGTAGAGCTCCACTCACAAGCTTGTGAGCGATTGTCCCCCGCCCTTCGTGTCTGAAAAAAAACCGATTAAAGATAGTACCAAGGAGTGTGAATGCCCGGGGTTTTGCTCAGTTCTGAGTGTTTTGAAAAGTATTTAATTTTTGTCTTGTTTTTCAGGTGAAGCCAAACTAAAGCCCAAATTTAGGAGAGGTCATAGGATGCTTTTCCTTCTCTCATGTAGGGTGTTTCCCATTTCCTCCATTTCCACTCTGTTCAGGTGCCTAGTTTTATTTAAAAATTTGATACCCTTGTTTCTTTTAATTTTGATGCAATAAAGATGTGGTATGAGGTTTAGAAGGGAAGTAACCTGCAGTGAAGTGAGCACAAGTAATTCAATGGCTATACATGAGGGCTGCAATGTCTGAGTTACAAGTCACAGCCTCAGGGTTTGATCCTCACTACTGGACATGGGGAGCTAATTCACTTCTAAGTTATGTGCATTGGAATTTCCCACTTCCTAATATTGTGAGAACTATTTGTGGCATTAAATCTGATTCATAATATGATTGGGATGGAAATTTAGAAAAAAATTGGTGAAATTAATAATGAGAATCCATTATTATATGAAATAATTTTATTAATATGTTTTGTTTTGTTTTCTTTGCTTTTGTTTTTTTGGGTTTATTTTTTTTTTGTTTTGTTTATTTTTTTATTTTTTCCACAAAACAGGGTTTCTCTGTAGCCCTGAGTGGTCTAGAACTCATTCTAGACCAGGGTGGCCTGGAACTAACAGAGATCCACCTGCCTCTTCCTCTCCTTCCACAGTGGTGGGATTCAAGGGATGAGCCTTCCACCACTGCCTGTCTTGAGTTATTTTTACAGAATATTTTTTCCATGTCTGTATCTATTCTGTCAGGTGAGAGAATTAATTCAATTATAAATATCTTTCTAGCAATGTCTAAGAAGAAAAGTTGGCCAGCTTGAAGCCTGCATTTATTTGTATTATAAACTCCATATTGTAATCAAGTGTTACCTTATTGAACTGTATATATTTCTATAAGTCCAGTTTGTGCACACACACAGATAAACACACACAAGAACATATGTTCCACAAGAAAGTCTAAGGGGTTGAAAAATGTTTCATCAGCTTCGTCTTGCAGTAGTTGGGAAATAACAGAGAGACCCACAGTGGACAGTGTGGCGAGAGTGAGAGTCTTGTAGAACACTTGCTCATGAATGGCCCCTCAGGTTCCTGGGAGCTAAGCAGATGATGACCCTTAAGAATGTAAGAGTCAGAGGGCATGCATAACACCAAGGAAACTGTCTTCTAGACATAACAGGGCTGACACACATCAGAATTCTCGGAGAACCCACAGCATGCGCAGGGCGTACAGAGGTTGAAGATATGATCCCAGCTCTGATAAGTCTTTTGTGTTTGTGTTATAGTTTCTGATTTTATATTTTTATGGATTTTGTATTTGTATGTCTTTCTGTGTACCTATGTGTAATACTTGTCCTTTGTAAAGGTAACCTTTATTCTTCTGTATGATTGTTGTCTTGGGGGCTTTATTACCTTCAGTCTGTTAACCTAAGCCTAGTCCTTGAACCTTCTAACTTCTATACAGTCTTATTGGGCCTAGAATGTTTTCAGCCTCTGCGACTTGCTGCTGAATAACTCACCCCTTCTAGGTCTTTCTGATCTCTGGCTGGTTCATCAACCCTGCTTTTCTGGCTCAAACTCCGCTCCAAGCTGACTTATTCAATCTGGCTTTTCTCTAGGTTTCTTACTGAATCGCTGTGCTTGGCCTCACACTAACTTTGATGATCTGTTTTAACCTTTGGGCTCCTCATTCTCTGGCTTCTTTAACTGTATCTAGTTTGTCCTCACTCTGCAAGATGTGTGCTAGGGCTGAGCCCTACCATGACAAGGTCTTGCCAGGTCGCATTCTTCGGGTTCACAATGTGATCAAATATCCTGCAGTAGTGCTTTTCTTTTTATTTTTTAAACTTCTGATTTGTTTGTATTTTACACCCCTTCACCCATTTTTAAAAAGATGGGATCTCTGTAGTCCAGGGTGACCTAGAACTGAAAGATCCGCCTGCTCTGTCTCCTGAATGCTGTAATTAAAGGAGTGAATCACCATATAGCCCGTGTTTGATTTTTAAAGTGAGGCAAGAAAGGAGGCCTGGAGGTGGAGGTAGGTGGTTAGAGAAGATGAGTGGGGAAGGGGAAACCATGATCAGAATATATTGTGTGAAAAATTATTGAAGGATGAGCAAAGTGTCTGTGTCCTAGTGGGAATTCATGCCATATGCAGAGAGCACAGGTTAGAAAGCGGTGTCTGATGTGAACTGTCTCTGCCTCTTCTTAGGTCTTTAAGCAAAGAGCTGCCAACAATTCAACAAAGAGTATGAGAAATGGAGGCGAATTCCAGTGTCTACTGTGAGTACAGTGTTTCAGACAAGATCTGCCAGAAGGGGAGATCTGAATGTTTAATGTGAATGCAATTTAACTCCTGAGAAAATATTAACAATGAGGTGGTTGGTGAGGCCAAAGTTTGGTTTTACTGAGAACCAAACACTTTGGTTAGACCAAGAGCACAATAGTTTGATCTTGTCCTTTCCAACTGGATGGTATATAAGGCAGCCATATTTCTTGTGGGTTTTCTTTTTTTCCAAACAAGAAGGGAGGGGGAAGACATTACAAAATGGCGCTTGTATAAATATGAAGTATAACACTGCCACCATGAGGAAGCAGTTTCAAAACATATAACGCCATTTCAGCTTCCTGCCCTCTTCCGTAGAGCAGTGATTCTCAACCTGTGGTTTGCATACCAGATGTCCTGCCTATCAGATAATTACATTATGATTCATAAGAATATCAAAATTACAGCCATGAAATTGCATCGACAGTAATGATTTCTGTTTGGGGGTCAGCACAGTATGAGGAACTGTGGGACAGGGTCTTGGCATTAGGAAGGTTGAGAACCACTGACTCGGGTTAAGGTTGGTCTGTAGAGGTTTGGAGAAGCTAGTGCTAGAAGCTGGCCTTCCTTAAATTCCTCTAAGGCCCTAGGAGAGCCTGTATGCTCTAGGTGTTAACAATTATCAAAGAAGTTATATTTACTGTCTGAAATAGTTTATGCTGTTTTCTATAAGAACCTTTTAATTGTTCCTGAGTACATCAAAATAAATACTAGATGCCTTGTGATTGATTGCATGACGACTGCTTATTCGATATGACTCCTTAATCTTCATAGTTTCTCTTTTAAAAAGTACTTGTTTATATTTTGAATGCATGCACAGAAATATTTGAGATGATCAGTTCAACAACTAATCAGGGTAATCTTGAGGCTGTGCAGTGAAAGTATCCTGGGGCTTGTACCATACATGAGGCCTTCTGCTTGCATCCTATCTAAACACTTCATCAACAGTCGAGCCAGCCTGCAATCCTAGCAGTAGAAGGTGGAGGCAGGATGATCAGAAGTTTAAAGTCATAATAGGCTACTTTGGGTCTTTTAGACCACTTGGGCTTCAAGACTCCATCTCAGGAGACTAAGGGAAACCTAGGCTGCTAAAGAAGCAATAGAATATAGTTAAGAACTGTTGAACTAGTTTTTGTTGCTCTCTTTGTCAATACCTTAGTTATGAGAAGTGTTTATAGAAATCCATTAGTCTATAAGAATTATTGAGTTAACAGAAGAATCTTTTGCAGAACCTCAGACCAGATCTGTTATTAGAGATGCCTTCCTCTAAGCACCAAATTTAAATTCCAGAACACTCTTCTCCCTTTTTATTTGGAACGTCCATTTTGTGTCTGAGACAGAGATTTGATGCAGTGGCAAAGAATGGGGCATAGAGTGCTGGGCAAACAGAGGTCCAGCTGCATGAGAAACACCTCCTAGAGGAAGCAGGGAACATAGTTGATTTCTTCCTTCCTTCCTCCCTCCTTCCTTCCTTCCTTCCTTCCTTCCTTCCTTTCTTTCTTTTTGTTTTTGTTTTTTTGTTTTTGGGTTTTTTTTTTGTTTGTTTGTTTTGGTTTTGGTTTTTCAAGACAGGGTTTCTCTTTATAGCCCTGGCTGTCCTGGAACTCACTCTGTAGACCAGCCTGGCCTCAAACTCAGAAATCTACCTGCCTCTGCCTCCCAAGTGCTGGGATTAAAGGTGTGTGCCACCACTGCCCAGCACACCTTTGATTGTTAAGAAATCAATTCTTTTGCTAAAAGTTTGGTTTCAGATGAAAAAAACAAAAGAATAATTAGACCCTTCAGAAGATCCTATAGAAGTCAAAACAGTTGTGTTCCCTGGCGCCTTTTTCTCCAGGTGATGTTTCTCAGGTAGGAAGGGCACTAAGATGATGTTTTTGACCACAGCTAGTGCATTACTAACGCCACAAGGATGTACAATTGCCAAGAAAGCATGATTTCCCATGAAGCTTCTCAGTGATGGGGAAAGTGTAGGCTGGAGAAGGCTAGGGTCTTGAGCTTGCTCTGTTGACCCAGCTAGGCAGCAACACTCCATCCTTCTGTAGGGTGGGAATCCCACATAAACCCCAGCATGCACAGGTCCAAGATACAATTGTAAAGTAAGAATTTAGTATAAAGCCAGGAAGAAGCATGGCTCCAGAAGTGGCTCATCAGTTAAGAGTATTTCTTGCTTTCCCAAAGGACCTGGGCTTGGTTCCCAGCACCCTAACTGAAATGAATGGGGTCTCAACTTCCTGTTAAATGTAGTGTCAAGGAAACCAACACCCCCTTTTGGCCTTTGTGGTTACTTGCACACACATAACATACACTCATACACCTAGGCATATACACATGCATACACACATATAAAATCTTCAAAGAAAGCATGAGGCTATAAACCTGTATTCTGATTTTAAAAGTTTGTATTGTATATGAGTAGAAACTTACTAATGTATTAAATAATACATTGGTTTTTTTCTTTGTTTTTTTTTTTCTTTTTCTTAGTTTCCAGGCTAACAATTACTCATTAGAATATGCAAGCCTCAAACTCTGAGCTATAACAATTCCTTAGCCTTGGCTATGTTATATATACTAAGCTCCAACCTTCAAAATGAAAGACATGAAAATCATTGTGCAACATAATTCATTTCAATGCACATTTAATGAGTGCTTCATTATCTATAGTGAGCTGTGTGTCTAGGCATTGGGTGAGTTGCAGTCAATGTGGAAAATTCATCAGTGTGAATATTAAGTTTAACGAAAGTACTTTCTGGATCCTGTGTATGGTGTATATCTTAAGCATCAATGAGGAAAAATAACACTGATGCCCAACTGAAAGCATGATGAAGAATTAAGGGATCCAAAGTGAAACCAGGGGAAACTGTTAGACTGTTGGAAGCACTGGAACACTGGAAATGCTTGGGTTTCTGGAGCATTCAATCTTCAGCAGGCCCCAGATCTTCCTTACAGGCCACATCCTGCTGTCCACACAGGGCCTGTTACATCCATCACGACTGGGAGTATGAAACCTAGGGAACAAGTGAATCTGGTAGACAACCTGTGTTCCTGGTGCCCACTTTGCTCCAATCCAGGTCCTGAATTAGCTGTAATTTCATTTCTTACCTAAAACTGAATGCTGAGACTTGTCCCCGAGATCCAAAGACAATCAGGTACCATGAGAAAGGACTGGACCTAGAATGCTGCTGGCTGAAGAAGAGGAGAAATGCAGGATTGTCATTGACTAGGCCTTCACTTCTGGCTCTCAGGTCTTCAGAGAGGATGCACAAGAAAGGAGGGCAGGTGCTTCAGACACTTTCAGTCTGCCCCAATCTGTCTGGCTCTCTTTTGGTGCTTGAGGTCTGATACAGGTCCTTATCCAATAGATGTGGTATCAACATAAAATTAAAATGGAAGCTGCACTATCCAGATCAATTTTTCTCACAATATAGGAAAAATGCAAAGAGGGCTCCCATTTATTACAGTTTGTAAAGGCAGGAGGAGAGAGCTGTAGTCAGGACACCATTGGTTCTCGGGGTCAACACTGCAATTATGCAGAAAATGTTTCCCACATACCCACACTTGTACACCTCGTCCTGAATCTTGTTGCCAGCAACTTTGAAGGGTAGGGAAGGATCAGGGGGATTCTTAAATGGGAAACCCTGCCGTTTACTGATTTTTTTTTCCCCCTCCTTCTGTCGTAAGACTGCAATCACAGGACCTTTCAGAGTATTAGTGCAGACCCTGCTGACTGAGGGCCCAGGGCCAAGTGCACAGTTGAGTTGTGGTCCAGGAACAGGAAGCAGAGGGATGGAGGAACAGGAAGCAGAGGGGCGGGTTTCACCCTGCTCAGCTAGCGATGTTAATCTACTAGCTGGTGTCCTAGGGCGGCCTCAGTCTCCAGGATCTGATGAGACAGCACTACAGTCTGAGTTTCTGTTGGGGCCTGAGGAGAAGTGGGGTAAGCCCAACTAGGCACCCACAGCTGTTCTTGTTGTTAGTAATCGCCATCTTCTGCCATTGCTAAGAATCATGGGAAGGAAGCCCAGTGGTGCTGTGAGTTGTGAAACCGTGTCCTCATGATGGCAGTAGAGCTCCACTCACGAGCTTGTGAGCGATTGTCCCCCGCCCTTTGTGTCTGAAAAAACGGCAAGGGTGGCTGTCCTGAGTTTTGTTCATACTTGATACTTTGAACAGTATTTTATTTTCTTTCATTTCATTTTATTGATCTTGTATTCCATGTGAAGTGAATCTGAGGCCTAATTCTACCTACTTTGAAGAGTCCTTGGACTCTTTTCCTTCTGTTAAATAGGATATTTCCTTTCTGAAAAGATGGAATTCACAGAGAAATGCACCAAAGAATATGGCTGCCTAAAGTTTTGTGGATCTTGAAATAGTTTCCTCAGTTTGCCTAGGTCTGAGTACGTGGAAAGGTATTTTTTGTGTGTATCCTGTTTTCCACATTCAGCCAAACTGAAGCTCAGATTTAGCAGAGATTTTAGGATTCTTCCCTCTGCTATGGAGGGTATTTCCAGTTTCGTTCATTTTCACCTGTCCAGGAGCATAGCGTTATTTAAATTTTTGCTGCTATTTATTTCTTGTAATTTCTATACAAGTATGCTCTGAGGTTTAGGAGAAGATAAATATGAAGTGTCATAGCCGAGGGGTTTGAATGCTGTGTGCCCTAGGTCCTTGGTTTGATCCTCAGTAACTTGAGTATGCAACTGTCAGGTTTTCAACTTCAAGTATTTTGAGAAATATTAACGATAGTAAATCTTACTTGTAATATTTAGATGGAATTGTAGGTAAGATTTAATGAGATTAATATGAGATCTCATTTTTTATGAGAACTGATTAATTATTTTTAGTGAATGTTTTCTATGTGTGTGAAGCTATTCTGCTGGCTAAGCACATTTACTGAAAAATAAGATACATTTTCAGTGATTTCATGTTGCCTTGGGACATCAGATTTCACAATGTCTAAGAAAAATTGGCCCTCCAATAGTCCCAATAATGTTTAATATGTGAAAGAAGCATATGTCTTGCATTTCCATATACCATCTTAATAATAATATATATGCTTGTGTAAGTTTTGATCACTTTATAGTATCTATAATTTGGACATTGTTTTAAAATGGTATTTATTTAAAGACTTTCCTGTCGTGATTTTATATATATATATTTCATTAATTCATGGTATAGCTCATTCAGGAGTTTTTTATTTTAATATTGTTTTCAAGTAGTATACAAAATAATAGGTTTCACCAAGGCACTTTTTATATATACTTTGCTCTTGTTTTTCTCCCTCTGAGCCTGTCTTCCCTGTCCCCCTGCTGACATTCCTTTTACCCCTCCCTCTTCCAATAAGTGCCATTTTCTCTTTCATGTCACAGTAGTCCATTTCTCACTGAACACGTCTCCCCCCTCAGAGCTTCTCTGTTCCTCTCATGATCCCATTTCTAATTTCATGATCCAGTTACAACACCAACTTACACATAGACAAATGTGTGTGCATGCTCACATGAATGCAAACTTTAACTCTGCATATGAGAGAGAACAATTTGTATCTGTCTGTCTGAGCCTGAGATTTTCTTCACGCTGATTTTCTTGTTCTATATATTATTTTCCATGTGTTTCTATTACTTCATTTTTTCTTCATGGCCAAAAAACACTCCACTTTCCATATGTATTTTCATTTTCCACATGTCAAATCTTGTTCACACTGCAGCAGTAAACATGCAAACATCTTTGTGGCAGAACCCAGAGTCCTTTGACGATTCAAGATATGGTCACATTTTACTATTGTCGCTTAGTTCTGACATTAATTTTCACCTGATGGTATTATTATTATACCCAGATATGTAGTGTAAAAGCAGGGACTATTTGACAAATATCCAAAGTAAAAGGATGTATTTTAAAATCAGTCTTCAGTGCCTGAAGTGAAATCTCAGTAGTTAAATGTACAGTTTTCTCTTGCAGTGAACACAGATTATAGCCTCAGCACCCACATGATGGCTCACACTTGTCTGTTACTCCAGTTCCAGGGATAAAATTCCTCCTTCTATCTTCTTGGAGGAAGAATACCTGAGTGGTGCACCTCCATTCCTGGTGGAAAATGCTGACACACGTAAAATTTGAAACCAAGTTAGCAGTCATTGGTGCTGTCTTCATAGCTCATAGTGCTTTGCTGGAATACAGGAAGATCTAGATTTTATCCCAGCATATTAAAAAATACCATTGTAAAGAACCAAACTCCAGCCCCTAATACTATGTCAGAGAATATCTAGGGAGAATCATTCAGCATGCCTAAGAAGTGTATGAGGTACTTGAGCTATAATAAATGAAGAGAAAATTGAGTCATGTGTGTACAGATGAATGGAAAGTCCAAGAATGACATATATTAATGGGGAAATTATTAAAAGAGTCTAGATTTTTGTCCACTGCCTTCAATGTGTGTTTAATTGCCCTGAAGTAGAGTATTTCTATTCAAGTATATCCACGTACATATGGGCTTGTTTCAGTGCTAATCATGCTATAATGTTTTCCATAGGATAATCAGTGCCATGCATTTGTGTATTATTTAAAGAAAAATACTGGATCTGGTGAGAGGATCAAGGTTCTTGGTTCCCAGCCTAACCACATGAATTCCGTTCCCATAATTCTAACTATAGAGGAACTCAGATTCCTGAGGTTGTCCTGAACACACACATGCATTCAAACAAATATAATAGACACACATGTATATCAGTTTTAAAAGGTAAGTAGAAATTAATGTGATGTACAGATTAATGTATTCACTGTTTAAATAGGAAATGTTGGTACCATATACATTTTGTATTATTCAAACTACAGCACACATTGTATGCTGCAGGATATTTTCAGAAACCCTAAATACAAAAATATGTATGTACACTTAAAAGTACACAAAAGTTATCATCAGGTGTCTAACAGGCTGTATGGAATGCTGATATCAAAGAAAAACTTTGTTTTCTGAACACACAGACAGAGTTAAAGAGGTTGAAAAGACCCTCAGTTCCAGTGTTCTCTCCCTCCATCTCCTCCCACTCCCCCTCCCACCTTAACCGTCCCCTTCTCGTTCCTTCAAAATATAGGTATGAGGTGTTAGTACATAATATAGTACAATCTTAATGGAAATGTATTGAATGTTCAGTTTTGATTTCAGGTCAAACATACTCTGTGATCTATCTGATTGGGATTTACAGTGATTTCAATAGACTTGCCACCCCAAATAGTATAGAGCATTAAATCTTGAGACCTTCCTAGAAATCCACTACAGTCGGGTAGTCAGCTTGGCTGGACACTCAAGTCCAGTTGCCCAAGTCAGGATGAGGTATGGTGCCCAGGGAATCTGTGAAGGGAATCAGAGAACCAGGTTTTCTGGATCCTAGGTTTGATCTTCTCAAGACCCTGAGTTGGCAGCATTTTTTTTTTCTTTCTACCTAGGACTGGATGATAAGATTTAACCTCCACACCACAAGACCAGGGGTAGACTGCTGCTGGGTGAAGGTGAGACCATAGACTTGATCATTGAGCAGCCATTGATTTCTTCAAAACACCTGATGCTTGAGGAAGGTGGGTGCCTCCAAGCTCCTTCTCCCTTTCTTACCTTCCTGCCCGGATTATAGATTCCATGCAGTTTCCTTCACACATTAGAGATTTTATTCTTGGGGTTTTGGTGGTTGATTCCTATGAAGGTACAGATGGATGTGCTAGTTGTGCCAATACTGAGAAATTCAATGGAAGGTATCCCCTCCTGCAGATGAATCCTCCTTTTAAGGAAAGCTGCCCTAGTTGCTGTACTCTGTCCATGTGTTGGAGTTTTTTTCAGACTGTAATGGCGGGGCCAGAGATTGGCAGTCAGAACACTGTCTCTACACTGGGGCAACACTGCCATCATGCGGATAATGTTTCATACTTACCCTCGCACCACTTCCTAAATCCTGCTTCTTGGCAGCCATTTTGAAGCGGAGAGGATTGGGAGATTCCTAAGTGGCGAACCTTCCCCGTTTTACTTTTAATTTTCCT